CGCTGTACGTCAAGAGAGGTAGAGGGTGGGCTGCTTTATCTCCCCCGAAGCAAGATCGTGGTAAATGGGATCTATGTTTTCCCCAATGAATGGCTTTTAAGGTGCCTGCCTCTCGTCCTTGCTGTTGGCACGCAGTTACAGAAGCATGTTGCTGTTGGCTGGGGCTGGCTGATGCTACCGGTCCCTTTGCCAGGCTCTTGCCAGCAAGAAATGCCCACGTTGATCCCCTTTGTGTCTCTTTTCTAGAGGAGCTGCGGCAACGTGGCTTGCACGAATGGCTGGCGTCACTGTCTTTTGATAACCCTGATTGTCCTGACCTGCAGCTGACCATGGGTGCAGTAATTGTGGAAGAAATGAGGGTGGCTGTAGAAGCAGCCACCGGTTTCAGGTGTTCAGCTGGAATTTCGCACAACAAGGTACGTGTGTAACACATCAGCCTGATTTCTTCCAAGTAGCAGTGTCAGAATGTGCTGTAAACTCTCTCCTATGCACTCTTTCAAGTCTCCCATAGAAGATGAGCTGAGTGGGGAATGCAGCCGTGTGTGAGCACACCTTCAGGGAAACGATAGGACATCTAGGAAGGGGAGGAGTTTTTTTCCCAGATATGTGGCCTATGCAGTCAGCACTCAATGAATTTACTGCCTGGATTCCCCGTGTACCCTAATGAGTTAGCTCACTAGGAAGAAAAGGGTTTCAAGTCCCCCAGGAGAGTTTTCTTCAGGAAAAAAGGAGAGCTTAAAGCAGGTAACCTCCACCTTGAGTTTTAAGCAACAGTGGCTGTAGCCAGGGAATGGTTTTTACTGACATAAATTCCCAGCGACTTGGAGGAAGAAGAATACCAGTTTGGGGCACTGAAGTGAATCAGGTTGCTTTTCCTCTTTCTGGTCAATCAGCCTTTACCCCTGCTGGCCGCGCTTTGGGTGATGCTCAGCCAGCTGCTGAGAGCAGCCACAGAAGCACTTCGTGCATGGCAGCAGCTGCAGAAACAAACGGACTTTGATGCTGCAGATATAGAGGGTTTCCTGCTGGGTGAAATGCAGAGTGCTTTACTGAGAGCACCTAGCACTCGTTTCATTCTTTGCAGAAAGGGTTTGTACCTGCAGAGGTGAGCTGGCTGTGGAAGCACACTGTAGCATGTTCTGCACAGCCACATGTAGGCTCTGGTAATCTCTGCATTGTGCATGCTGGTACAGATATACAGTTCTTCAGGGATAGCACAGTATGTCATAATTTCCTTACTCCCTTTTAAGAAAAAAAAAAAAAAGGAAGAATGCTGGCATAGAAAACGGAAGCTGGGAGAAGCTGCTAGGGATTGCAGGGATGTTCTCTGTTATTCTTGATTAAAGAGAGCAAAAAGGCAAACTGAACATCCCTTCCACTGGAAATTTCCACACCAGTGATCTTCCTCAGCTAGCTCGTTTCTGTCTCAAAGTCTGCTCTAGTTTCAAGGTGAGCCGGTGTAGAACTAGCTCCAGTACCTGTGTACAGCTGGTAATAGTTCCAGTTGCTTCTGCTGCAGTCTAAGGTGAAATTTGTCTTCTCTAAGTTCCAAAACATCCATTTAGTCTTTATCCTTTTCTTTTTTTAGTCAGAGCCTGCATTTTTAAAGTCATAACTGTACAGATAAGCCCCTTTTGCAAAGAATGAAACGAGTGTTAGGTGCCTCTCAGTAAAGCACTCTGCATTTCACCCAGCAGGAAACCCTCTATAGCTGCAGCATCAAAGTCCGTTTGTTTCTGCAGCTGCTGCCATGCACGAAGTGCTTCTGTGGCTGCTCTCAGCAGCTGGCTGAGCATCACCCAAAGCGCGGCCAGCAGGGGTAAAGGCTGATTGACCAGAAAGAGGAAAAGCAACCTGATTCACTTCAGTGCCCCAAACTGGTATTCTTCTTCCTCCAAGTCGCTGGGAATTTGTGTCAGTAAAAACCATTCCCTGGCTACAGCCACTGTTGCTTAAAACTCAAGGTGGAGGTTACCTGCTTTAAGCTCGTGTTTTTCTGGAAGAAAACTTTCCTGAGGGACTTTTCTTCCTAGGGAGCTAACTCATTAGGGTACATGGGGAACCCAGCTGATAAATGAGACCAAATAATTGAATGAGCTATTTGGAAGCACCTGGAGGATAACAGCATGGTTTTATCAAGAATCACTCATGCCAAACTCATTTATGTGCCCTCTTTGACAGCATAAGTGGCCTAATGTACAGGGGAGACTGCAGATGTGAGGTGTTGACCTTAAGGTTTCTAATGCACCTCACCCTGAGTTGCATGAGCTGACGATGACACCCTAGCAAAACACAAGATGACTGAGGTTATCTGAAGGGCATCTAGCTGAAGAAAATCTTATCATTTTCCATCATGATTTTGTTCAGTGAGTTGCACTCAAATTGGGATGTTTAGAGTGGGATCCTGGGGGGACCTGTCTGAGGTCTGCTAAGAGCCAATATTTTCACTGAAGCCAATAGAGAGGGAACAGCTGCAGGAATTCAGGTGATGCTAACCACAGATGGGGCTCAGGCCTGGGCTGTGAGAGTTCTGGGAGATGAAATTAGAGCTGAAAATTCTGGGCTTAGAAAAGCCCAGAAGCAGTCTGAAATCACCAAGCAGTGCTTCTTATGCTCCTCACTGTTTTTGCGGTTCATAGGAAAAAAGCAACCAGCAGGCTTTTGGCTAAGTCGCAGTAAGTCAGGAAGTAGCCTGCAGTTACTGTGGACAAGCAGCAGGATGAGTCAGTAATGTGAGTGCTCTTGTAGAAATGGCAAATCCTGTTTCAGCATATGCAGATTAGAGAAGATGTCAGAAGTAGTAATTTCTCCCCATGAAGTCTCAGTGATTGGTTCAGCTTGCAGCACTTCACTTTATGAACAGTGTGGGTAAACTTGGAAGAGTCTCCAGTGAAACAAGAATAACAATAATTGGACATCTGGAAAATGACTGGATAGGAAAAGTTGAAGAAAAGTGATCTGCTTTGTCTAGAAGAGAGTGAGAATGTATTGTTGTTAATAAAGATCATAGCTCAATAGGCAGGAAAGAAATTTTGCTTAGTTATAGGATGTGTGGTAAAGCAGTGGAAGAGTAAATTATTAGACTTGTTTAAAAAAATCCCAAACACCCAGCTAAAGCTGGTCTGCGTATCCTGTAGTAGATTAGAGTGGGAGGGGAAGCTGTATAGCAGATAGTCTAGAGAACATCCCTTCCAGACTAGCAATTCTGTATTTTGCAGATTTCCTTTTGCAGCATTATGCTGCTGTGGACCTCACAGAGAGAAGATTAAAGTAGTGACACTGAGAAAAAGCAAGACAAACACAGAAGATGAAGGAGCAAGACATAGTGAGAGAAATAGCCTGGGGAGGATTATGGGGATGCTCTGGAAGCTCTAGCATGCTTGCCTGATGGAAAACTAAGCCAAGCAGAACAGGTGATAGACCCAGATCCCCTAAGCTGCCTGGAGCAGGAGTCCAGCCCTTTGCAGAGCTAGAAGTCTGGAAGCAGCAGTGCTTTCAAGAGTACCCAGCCAGTGCATGCCAAGTCCCAAGGTGGGTATACCTGGGAGCAAGCAACGGTGCAACCTGCATGTCCTTCCTAGCAGCTATTCCAAAGGCAGCTCTTAGAGGTGACACAGCACAAGCCTTTAGGTAGAGTCACAATAAAGTCAGTGCAAAGTTTGTAATAACGGGGTTTCCGCCCTCTTCTGTGTTACAGACTCTGGCAAAACTGGCCTGTGGGTTAAACAAGCCCAACCGCCAGACGCTAGTATCTTCGCGATTTGTCCCACAGCTCTTCAGCCAACTGCCCGTCAGCAATATGTAAGTATTGGGGAGCTGCCTGCTTTTGTGCAGCTTGGGGCTCAGGCTGAGCTGCTCTGTGGCAAGAGCATGTATTTGAAATGCTGGTGCTGTGCTTCCACAATCCAGGCTTGTATCAGGAAAAGTGCCCTGTTTGTCTTCATTGTTGTAGTACTTGCTCCTGTTGGTTTGTCATCATTGCTTGTGTGAGCAGAACTAAAGTGACTTGGGGGTAGGAAACTGTTCCTGGCTGCTTCAACAGAAAGCAATTTGATGCTAATTGATAGCAGCCAGCAGAGGCTTTCAACTCCACAGTAACTGCTCATCAATGCTTGTAAGAAATGGAGAGGAAATCCTGCCTGTAATCCCTCACACCCATGAGCGACAGCTCAGGAGGAGCATGCTTGGGAACTGCAGCTCTGCCAGTGAGGCAACCACACTCGAAGAGCCCACTAGCATCCTGTGGGCAGCCTTTCCCTGGGTAGAGCTGTGCTTAAGATGACTGCTGGGGTGCATAGGTGTAAGCCAGGAGCAACTGTAGGCAAGGAGGCCATAGCTGTGCCCCAGTGTGAGTGACAGAGCTGTGTTCCCAGAAAGCAGATGTGGTTTGGTTTTGAGCATCCACACTGTGCACAAGTACTTTTCCTGGTGGAGGGAAGAGTTACCAGCACCGCTGCTCCAGAGGAATGGATCCCTGGTCCTGCTCTCCAGACCTGCACTGCTGCTTTCTGCCTTCAGTGTCTCACTAGGGATGGAGGAAGGGGGTGGGGGGAAGGGTCTTGTCTGTGTAGGAGGAAGCAGGGAGCGCGTGAGGCATTCTGCAGAGTGTGGTTTGGGATCACGTTTTGAAGATGGAGCTGAGGGAGAAGCACTGAAACTGAGTGAGCCAAAGAGCAGTTCCCACTTCAACTCTTATGTCTCCTTCTACTATGAGCAGAAGAGCTGTTATCTACCATATGTTCCCTTTTGTCCTGCTAGTTCCTGACTGCTCCTAGCTGTCCTGATCTAGGGACAGCTGCTGCAAGAAGACTTGGCATAGTCTCCACATGATGCTTCATTTGTGTTTTCTTTTTTTCTTTCTTTCTCTGCTGTAGCCGTAACCTGGGAGGCAAGCTTGGCACTGCCATCACAGACATCCTGGGAGTAGAGTACATTGGGCAGCTGACACAGTTCAGTGAGACAGAGCTCCAGTCTCACTTTGGAGACAAAACTGGGTAATGATAAACTACTCACCACAACTTGGCTCTTGGCAGGAACTGAGACTTCCTTTCGGTCACAGGTTGTTCTGCTGTGATTAGGAAGGTTGGAAGGTAAAACTTCAGTGACATCTTTGAGAAGCATTGTTCTGGCAGCCCACAAACAGGTCTCCAGTCTTGCCTGCTCCCAGGCACTCCCCAGGATAATGTTTTGCCTGTCAGCTAACTCCTCTGCCTTCCTCTACAGTGTCTAAGGATGGGGCCAAGCTGTGGAAGGGCTCCCTGCAGGCTGGGAAGCAGGCAGGCTTGACAGTCTCATTACAGAGGAAATTACAAGGCTGGACTGGAGCCTGAAATGCCACTTCTGAGCCCAGAGCAGCGGTTGGGGTGCCCTGCAGACTGGTGAACTGTTGCCAGTTCAGGAGAAGAGGCGGAGGAGTTGTGCTGATAGGCAGTTGTGGCCTGAAGGAAGCCTGCCTGTTCAGCTGCGGTTGCAACTGCAGAGCTGGGGATGAAAGGCAGAGTCACAGCTTGCACAGAGCTGAAAGCACGGCTCAGCAGAAGGCTGACTTGCTGCCCAGTGATGCCTGCCTGTCTGTGGCTGCCTTCACCTCGTGCTTCCTCTGTGGCTTTCAGGTCCTGGCTCTATGACTTATGCAGAGGAATTGAAGATGAACCTGTCAAAAACCGGTACCTGCCCCAGTCCATTGGCTGCAGCAAGAACTTCCCTGGGAGGACAGCCCTGGCCACACAGAAGGAGGTAGGAGAAGTCTCTATCTAGCACAAGGCTTGGCCTTTGCACTGGAGAAGATGAGAACGCTAAAAGCCGAGACTAGCTTGCAAAACTGCGGCTTTTCTGTGTCACGGTGCCCTGAAACTCAGCTTAGGGGCTCAGTGGGAGGAGGTGATTTGGGCCCCAGAAATCCCCATTTGACAGAAATGCATTGATGAACTCCTGCACAAAGAGGTCCGACCTTGTTGTAATTTCCATGAGCAAAACTGTGGGCCTGTGCTGTTCAAAAGATATTCACAGTGTCAAGCTTCAAGGGCTCGGTTGCTAGAAAGAAGGTGACTAGCCCAAAGAAAGAGGGAGGATGCACCTTACCTCTTAGCTGGGGAAAGGTTCACACAAAGCTGTAGGGACTCGCAAAGAGAGATTCAGGGCAGGGGACTCAGATTACTTGGCAAAGTCTAGTAGTAAAGCTGCAGGACTTGTATGGCATCTGCAGTGCCATGCCTCCAGCGTTGAATCCTTACCTGGACCGATTTCTCCAGGAGTACTCCAGATACGGGGCCTTGTGATAGTCTGTGTCCATTCCAGTTTGATCCCCCTCCAGCATTCCCCGGTGTGTGGAGCGTTGCTCTGGCCTGGTCGCAGAGCTGTGAGCAGCGGCCCAACCTATCTGTTACCGCTGTTTTGCCCAGGTGCAGCACTGGCTCCTGCAGCTGGCCTTGGAGCTGGAATCCAGACTGATCAAGGACAGGAGCCAGGTAAGGAGGGGAGGCATGGGGACAGCATTCTCCTTGCTGGCCTTCAGGAAGCCATGCAGCACGTTTGCACCGTGAGCTGTTTGCAGGAGGCTGAGGGTGGTGCGTGGTGGGGGAGGAAATCTGCTCGCCCTCAGATGTGTGCCTGTGTGCTGAGATGCACCCCGCAAAGAGGTGTGCAGGAGCCCGGCCAGGAAGGATGGTTTTGCCCCAGAACACTGCAGGGCTGAGGACGGTCCTTGTCCCGTGCTTTAGGATGCAGGGACCTGAAAGCCAACGCACCTTCATCCTGCGGCACTGCTGCTCTCTTGCAAGCCCTTTGCTGATGCAGCTCTGCCTGTGCTGTAGGCTGTGAGAGGAAGCGATATGCTCAAATCTGGATGGTAGACTGCAGGCCAGGGTGAGATTAATCTGTTAGCTTCATTGCTGCGGGGTGGGGCAAGAAAAGGTGCGCAGCTGCCTTTGAAAGAAAGCAAGGACTAATTGCTTCCCAACCTGTGTGGCACATCTGTACAAGCACTTGCTGTCCTGTATCTCTTCCCCTGGAGATCAGGCCAGGCAGGACAAGCTGCCATCTGTCACACGGCATCATCAGGAGGTGGTAGCTGATAGTACAGGGTTCTGGGCAGTGAGACAGTCTCCTTGGCCTTTCCTGCTTTTTCCTGCAGGTGTCGCTTGAAACACAGCTACCTCTTCTCTCTGCAGAACCACCGAGTGGCCAAGCAGCTGATGGTGGTCATCCGCATGCAGGGAGACACCCGGGTGTCGCGCTTTTGCGCTCTGTCCCGCTATGATGCCCAGAAGATGTGCAACGATGCCTTTGCCCTCATCCAAAACTGCAACATGGCTGGGGCTCACCAGGCGGCCTGGTGAGTGTGGGAGGAAGCGGTTCACGTCCCTGCCAGGGGTTGTTCTGCTGCGGGAGGTGCAGGATGAGCCAGGGACCTGACAGAAAGGAACAGGAGTGTTATGCCGACTGGCAAGAAAAGTGATCCCCAGCACACACACAGCGGAGCGCACCGACCTCTGCTTGTTAGCAGTAGGACAGCTGTGAGAGCCTGGCCTCTTCTTAGCCCCACATCTGGCAAGACACTTCTGACTTCTGTACTTGGAGCTGATGATTGGTACTTGCAGGGGGTGTCCAGCTGGAGTGAGGCAGACCTTGCCCTACTGGGCTGGAGAAGCTAGCTAGGCCTTGCTCTCCTCCCCTAAGGACAAACGTGCTTTTTGGGAGGAGGCTGTTGGAAGGAAAACTAAGGTGCACAGCTCCTGTATTCAATGTTCCTTCTTTCCTTCCTCCTGCTCTGCAGTGAAGGCTGAGGCATAGTTAAGGCAAGAAGGTCCTGTCTGTTAGGCTCTGACAAGGCTGCTGCTCCCTTAAGGCCCTCTCACCTTGCCTGGGAGTCTCACAGCCGCTCCAGCCTGAACTCCAGGCTTGCCGCCGGCTGCCCCTGCTCCAGTGCCCTCTCCTTTGGGAAATGCTGTCCTGGGGAGAGGCTTTCTGCTCTGCCCAGCACAGTCTGCTATGTCTGTGAGACTGTTCTGGAGGTAGCAATACTAACATTTTGTCAGAGGAAACATCTCTCCCGCCCCTGCTGGATACCTGGACTGCAGTTCCCCATCCCCTGCCTGCGAACATTTTATGTTGCTTAAAGTCTTACCTCAAAAGGCTTCTTGCTTCCCAGGCTGGTACCTGAGCTGATGTTGGTCTGTCCTTTGCAGGTCTCCACCGCTCATATCGGTGCTTCTCTCGGCAAGCAAGTTCTCAGAGCCTGCCACACTCCTCTCTGCAGGCATTGCCACCTTCCTGACGAATGATACCCAGCCTGATGGCACTGCCACCGCCAGCCAAAACACCATGTCTTCTAGGAGGCCCAGGGTCAAGTTCTTTAGGAGCCCAAGCAAAGAGCTTAGGCAGAAGCCAGCTAATGCTATTGAGTCATTCTTCCAAAAGGCGGCAGAAAGGCAGGAGTCACAGGCAGCAGCAGCAACCAGCCTGCCTGCTGCTACCGCTGCAGAGTCACCTGTGCCCAGCTCCCCGGAGCACCAAGAGAGAGATGGTGTTGGACTTGCCTCTGTGCAGTGTGACTTGGAGTCCCCTGTGAAGCGGAGTCCCAAAGATGGGAGCCCTACTTCTCCTTACAAGAGGCTTCCCTGTGAGAAGTCGCTGTTTGATGCTACACAAACACCCTCGACTCCACCGAGCTCCAGGACCCTTCTGAAATTAGAGCCAGCTATAGAGGGGAATGAGCAGAATTTGCCACCCTCTCCTGAGCTCACCCCGCTCCCTCCTGCCTCGCCGGGGGACCAGCAGCGCTGTGAGAAGTGTGGCCAGCTCGTGCTGGTGTGGGAGTTCCCAGAGCACATGGACTACCACTTTGCTCTGGAGCTGCAAAGTTCCTTCATGGAGCCCAGCACTCCCATGGCTCCAGCAGCAGCTCCCAGCCCAAAGGCTGCAGCTTCCAGGTCTCCTGCCAAGGCAAAGAACAAGCCCAAGACTCCAGCAGGATCTAGTGCAAAACGACCCAGAGAAGGTGTGACAAAAACTTTAGATTTTTTCTTTAAGCGCTTACCTCCTTAACTCCCAGCCATGCTGGGAGTTTTGAGATAATCAGTATTTTTAAAGAATCAGTGTTTTTAAATACAGTTAGAAGTTTTTATACTGCCTGTCAGGTTTTAATGCAGAAAAGTCTAATAAATTATCTCTACCCAAGTCTAAGAGGAACTGGAACTCGGGAATTGCGTACGATGTTGGACATACCCAGTTTAGCTGGTGGCAGCTAGCTTGCCTCTGCCTGCTTGGTGCTACCAGAAACTGCATTGTACTCTCACCTACACCTCCTGCCATGGGTATTTCCATTGCTCAGTAATTCTGTTTCTCCAGCTTTCTGTTCCTACTGTAAAAGCAGGCAATATAAGCACAGTGGCTTATCCCAGGGAATCTCCAGCCAAGCCTAGGCTTGAACCCCTATCCAGTCACTTGGTATGGAGCCTTCACCTCGTGGTGGTTCTCTGCAGTTGCAGACCTTGCCCTTACTGTATAACTTACATACGGTAGCTTAGCCCTGTGGTTCCTTCTCCCCTCTCCACCTGGAAGGGAGTGGAGAATTTATTCTCCCCTCCATCAGGATTTTTGTTAGAGATGGTTTGGCAATTCCCTCTGTGTAGCAGTCCATTGCATTATGGTTATCACCAGCTCTGGAGTGCACAAGAAAGACTGCTCCTGTCAAATAAGATTTGAGGAAGCTGGAGCTGCACAGGCATACTTTTTGTGGGGCTTTTTGAAATCTTGGCACCAGTTCCTGATAATTGCTACTGACACATAAACAGTCTACTCCTAGAGTCCTCATGGAAGGGACGGGAAACATGCCAGTCACACAGCCCTCTATGAAAGCGTTCCTCCATTG